TCGAACAACATTAATTATGACACGAGACAGCGTACCGAGATTGAGGGAATGCGCAATCCATAGCAAAATTTGGAATGACTTTATCCACTATTAAATTAACCCGAGACTCTAAAACTAAGTAGACTGCTCAATGTGGAACCTAAGGAAAAACTGCCTGTTTTTTCGGAGATCTTTCCTAAATTCGACACCTCGCTTCGACACGCTCATTTCTTGGGTCTAGACGTTTATCTTCTTATCTTACTGGCGGGAACCCTGAATATCGGAACGCTTTGGCATAACTATACCATGTTAATAGTTCTCTAATTGACTGATTTTATATTTATCTAAATAATTTTGAGACTAAACTTACAAATAACCCTAGCCTTCCTCTAGTGACTCCGTGTAGCAATACGGGACGGATTAGTCCATCTCATTTAATATATTATTATAGCTTGGACAATCCGCCTAAAACCCAGCTATTTGATCTATTACTTTCTTTTCCAATTATTGTCAACTTAACAATTTGATTTAATTCCAATTCGGAACCTCTACGCCTTTCTCGCGTTTTCGCACGTTATTAAACATTAAATTAAAAGTATGGGTTTCTTTGTTCTGTCCCAGCATAGGCTGGCGCCTCCCGGACGCAACAGATGACTGTCACATGGTGATACGTTTTCAAGAAGTTACTTAACCCGAAGTGTTTTGGGGTTGTTCTAATTATTGTTTTGTAAATTTATTAGTTTCCGCGACAAAAGCTCTTCAGACCACCCTCTAAATGCAATATAACACCTATACTACTTGACCCTCGCACAGAACTTTTGACATAACAATTAATTTTAAGAAAAATTGTCAAGTTTACAAAAATATTAAAATCACATTTCGATAGATACTTAAAATTTTCAATCGCTTTTCAAAAAGTCACATCAATTTGTTATACAGCAATAACAATATATTTAGTCCTCTTGAAGTGAATACAATCAGTTAAACTAGAAATTTAACATTTAACCTGTTTTCTTTAAGTCATTTTCTTGATGATAAACTTAATAGCTCTGCTTGAAGATCGCGTTCAAAGTTTGAGTCTTCAAAATGTGTACTACAAATATGTCCAGTTATATGATCAAACAAATCGTCTTTTGCACCGTTCTACCCATATCTTTCTAAGATTTTATCCTTAGGAAACACATTAAATAAAGTTTTTAAATTTTCTTGTTTAGCACTATCAAAAATTATTATTGCAAATTGCAACACTACACCTCACTCCTGGCATTTTTACGTGGTAAATTAATGGTTTATATTAAACACTACACCATCAACTTATTAAAAACTACTATCAATAACTAACTAATTACTGCAAAATACCCAAACAACTATGAAAGATTTACTTAAATACTTGGAAAAATGCAAAATTTCTAGTGAAGTCGCATGTAAACAAACATGAATCCTAAAGGTTAGAAATTTTGTGACGTAGTATGAGATAAGCCACGCCCATAATTTCTGTATATTACTCGACCGTCTTTTTTACGGACCGTGGGCGTGTCCCACTTGCCTACAATATGCTACAGTTCCCCCTCCACACGAGGTGGTTGAAATAACGTGATTTACGAGGACACTAAGGCCCGCTCAAAGCTGCTTATAGTTTTAGTTCGCGGTTAATGTACGCGTCGCATAGTACGCGGGTAGTGTCTGATCTCACTGTGAGGGATAGTGTAATAGTACAAAGGCTTTAAGAATATGGACAATTCAGGTATTAATTTAGAGTGAATAAAAAACAACTTCTTTACAATAAAACAAAATTTAACTTAATTTAGTAGATACTTATTTTATTGTCATATATCTACATAGGTAGCTAATAATGAAAGTATCTCACAATATTGTCTTATCTTTTGAAACACTTTTTCAAGACATAATGACGTAAACTAATGCTCTAAATAAATTAAAATCATTGGTCAAAGAATTTCTGAATTAAGAAAAGAAGAAAAATTTAAGAATACCTATTTTTAATTATGCCAAAAATATTACTGGACTACCAAGTAAACGGAACAAAAGTTGCGACGAATTAGAAATATTTTCGAAATATATTTCCCTTTAATTAAGTTTTGGGAAATTATGTACATGTTTTAAATTGTTTTTGCTGTAATAGATTCCTCAAAATTTCCCGAATATGAAAACAAATTTCCCGAAAAATCGTTTGAATGTTTATTACAAATGTATCCAAAATTTTTGAAAAACAAACTTAATGTTTTTTACAGACACGAACAATTTCGTAATTTAGAAGTTAAAAAACTATAGAAATATTATACAAGAAATTTAGAAAGGAACTTTTGGAAACATACAAAATTTTTGCCCAGTTTTAACAATTCCCGCAACAAGTGTCTCGGTAGAAAGAAACTTTTTGTGTCTTAAGCGCATTAAGACATGACTTAAGAAATACGATGACACAACAGCGCTTAAACAACTTATCATTAATGATGATAGAAAAAGAACTATTACAAAGTCTTAGAGCCGATCCTCAAATTTATGAAGACATTAGAAGTACATTTGCAAATTTAAAAGACGGACGAATAAACCTGTTTTATAAAAATATTCACTATATTTTTAAAATATTTTGTTAAAAGAGAGGCAGACGAAAAGCTGGCAGCGTTGTTGATAAGTTGGCTGGCTACCTTATAAAATTCCTTCTTATATTTTTTCATATCTTGTAATATTCATAAACCAAGTAGGAACAATTTTGTTAATTATTAGGTAAATATATCACTTTGTTTTTTTTTTCTGTTACATAACTTCATTGTAAATACAATTTTTAAAGTTCTGATATTATTATTAATAATATAATTTAATATACCTACGGTTATGGTAGGGCTATTGGCGATTATCTCCACAATAAATTCCTCTTTATTATTTGAGAGCGGCTTAATAAAATATTCAAATAGTTGCGTATTACATTTTATAAAATCCGAATGAAAATCCTACTCCAACATCAGTTTTTCTATAATATTGTAAATGCAACTAAAAATTTCCAGATACATTTAGTCGTTTGACCTTAAGTCGTTTGACCTTGAAAATTTAAGAATTTGTGCCTGCACTTTTTTTTCTTTCTTGCCCACCTAGTAAAAAACAACGGGCCTCACTTATTCACAATTTCACGAGCTGCAACTGGTTTTAGCCATATTCCAAACAATGGAATGCATTGAAATACACAATACTTATACAACTTCAAAAACGTTATGTCATAAAGTGTCGCATGTAACATCAAAAACATACCTGTATCAAATTTCATTGCATTAGATTGCTTTCTGGAAAAGATACGACCAAAATTTGATATTAAAAACTCATCTCAAAAATTCTTTTCCTATGTTCTATCAGCCTCTAAATTTATGGTCCTTTCTTCCAAAACACCTAATACAACGTTTGTCGCTTTCAGGCATTAATGGTTCTTTTTGTAATCTCAAAAAAAAATGGGTCAATTAAAGTCAGATATAACGAATTTTCACAGATCACGGATCCGAGGTCAATTTTGTAAAATTCAATATTTCGGACCCAAGATGGCCGACCAAATTTTCAAAAAATAACAGAATCGCAGCAAACTTGGTATAGGGGGGTTTTAGGGGTCGCTGACTACAAATTCGAGGTCAATTTTGCAAAATTCAAGATGGCGGATCCAAAATGGCTACCAAATTTTCAATTAATAACCGAATCGCAGCAAATTTGGTATACGGGGGTTTTCGGGGTCGCTGATTACATATTCGAGGTCAGAATTGCGAAACTCATTTTATAATATTTTACTTTATAACCTGAGTACCCAATCATGTGTTAACCTACTTATTTTCGGCTATATCTTGTTCTTTTTTCTGTAAAAGATCTATTCAAGAGTTGAATTTTATAAATCTGATCTCGGATTCGTGATCAGTGACCTTGAAAATCCCCGTATAGCAAATTTGGCGCGAATGTGTTATTTTTTGAAAATTTGGTCGGCCGCCATCTTGGATTTTGCTATATTGACCTCGAATTCGTGATCAGCGACCCTGAAAACCCCCTTGTACCAAATTTGATGCGAATCTGTTGTTTTTTGAAAATTTAGTCGGCCATCATGTATCCGCCATTTTGAATTTTGCAAAATTGACCTCGGATCCGTGATCAGCGACCCCGAAAACCCCCGTATACCAAATTTTCTGAGATTCTGTAATTTTTTGAAAATTTGGTTGGCCATCTTGAATCCGCCATCTTGAATTTTGCAAAATTGACCTCGGATGCGTGATCAGCGACCCAGAGAACCCCCGGATACCAAATTTGGCGCGAATCTGTTATTGTTTGAAGATTCGTGATATCTGACCTTAATTGACCCGTTTTTTTGAGCTTAGAAAAATAACTATCAATTCTGACCGCTAATTCACGTTCGGTGGGGTCTTAACTATATAAATGAACATTTGAATATAGAAAAAAAAATTTGTATTTTTCCTAGCACTTATTCATGAATTTTTGTTATTTTTTACCTGTTTTTTTGAGGTTAGGAAATTCCTGTGATGTGATAGCTTAATTCTGACACCGGATGCGTGATCAGGAGATAAAAATACTGCAGATAACGTATGTCGCATGAAAAGTACAGACAACTTTTCATTTTCTGTGTGGCTGTGTTATTATTCATGTGTTTTAGTGTAAATTAGCTCTTTAAAAAATATATATTATCTGTTTTATTTTGGTTAGTGTTAAAATTACGGTACGGTTTTCACATATTACCTTGAGTTTAATTCGATAAAACTTACTACCTTGAGCAAAAATTTTAGATTGTAAGAGCATTTGAACTTAATTATTTTTTTAAACAACTTTTTGTTCTTGAAACAAATGATCTCGGAATAAAATTTGTTATTGTATGCATAATCCTTTTTATTCAAACTTCTCCATCATCCCGTTGGTTTTTGGGCAAACAAATTAATGCAATACCCATGCTCCGATTCTAAGTATCCTAATATTGAATAGGGGGATCTTCACTGAACAAACAAAGGATTAAAAATAGGTCTGCTTACCTAAGGCCGCCCAAACCCTTTCATCTGTTTCCTCGCCCCATTTTGCAACAGACGTTGCTCGGATTTCTCCATTCACCAAATCACAAAATATGATGTACTCTCTGAGGATCTCGCTGCCCTCTGCACATTCCGCAGAAGATCTTGTTAGAAAAGTCACGTTTATCCTGCGAAACGAAAAAACGGATTAGTTTATATTCAAATGTATTCCGGCGGAAAAAAATAAATAAAACATCGGGAAAGACATATGTGTACTCTGCCTTTTACATTAATTTACTTTTACCTAGTATAAAAATTACTTAAGTAATTAAAAAAATCAGAACTAATGTTGTTCAAACAAACTAGAGTATTGTAGTAAAAAATATACTTAATCTAATATGAATACACAGCATTTAACGTTTTAAATATCTTCCATTAAGTTTGAAAAATCAATTAAAGTTTAACTTCCATTTAGTACAGCTAACCACTTTATTGTAATAATTATTTATCTGCAAGTACTGATACATACTGAGTTCAAAAAGTGTCATGTCAAATTTTTTGAAGACTTAAACAGAAAAAATGGGAAATAGTTTAAGTAATTTTTGTTATGAAATGTATGCTATGTTTTAAAAAAGATAATTGATAAATTTATGAAGAACAAATGGGAAGGTTTAGGAGTATTGGACAATAAAAAATTTTGATAGTGATTTTTTCCAAGAATTTGTTCCATATTTTGACAAGAAAAATACTTTGCCTCAAAACTAATCCATATATTGGTTTATTTTGAATATTCACTTATGATTGATGATGCCGTTGGTGATGTAATATTTTCCATCAGGAACACAAATTCGTATTCATAATATAATTTCACATTAAAACTGTAACTCGAATTAAAACTTTATAATTTAAAATTCGTTACCAAAATTTGCCTCGTTTCAATGAAAATGTTTATGAATTTTTGATGATTCAGAACATTAAAGCACATTTTAATTTGAATTTTTTAGAATAGCTTCTCTTCTTTCCTTAAAATCCGAATCATTCTTATAAAACGAGATATTACAGCTTACTCAAATTATTTTTTTATTCTTATTTCTATAGAAAATTTTTGGTGGGGACCTTGGGTACACCATTAAAAATGAAGTGTCAAAAGTCCCCATCGATCCCATGTGTGCTAAAAATGTTATTCGGTGTCAAAGGACAAAATTGGAGGTTTTTTGGATTTTTTTCGAAAAGGGTATGTTTCATCAAAAAAAGTAGCCCTGACAAGAATTATAGATCTTAAAATTATCTACAAAAATGGTCCATATACTTTTTTTTTAAGAATCACCATTCCTGAGATATCGCGATTCTAATAGTTGAAGGAGTCACGTTCTACATGATATGCACACATTTCCACACCACCTGTGAGGTAGTGTACTTTGACGCGCTTTTTTTAACGTGGTTTCCCCGGTAGGCCTACTCCACGAACTGTTATGACGGAATTTTCAGGGACAAACCTCTTTTAACTGTATGATGATTATTGATATTGATATTGGTTATTGACTTTAACTGTAGTTCTGATTTCTTTTGATATTTTAATCTGATTCATACTCTTCAAAGTCGACTTCAACAGTCACGTCTTTTTCGATTTCTTCTTCTTCTTCCTCTTCTTCTTGCTGGATGTTCATAAATTGTTCAAATGAAGATTAATCAGCTGTCTCTTCATCGAAATCACATGAATCTTCATCTGTTGTATTCAATTGGACATTTGAGCAAGACTGGCTTTGGCAATTAGTACACGCTGGAGAACACAGTAACCCTACTCTTCTACAGCCACATTTAGCACTACAACCTTTTTTGCAATTGCAAAAAATAGTGTTTAGGAGTTTTTCCAGAACAGTTGGAAGTTTGAATCGGTTCCAAAGTATTATCTGTTAATTTCCAACCCCAGTCTTCTGGGTTCAGTTGATTGCCTAGCCATGTCTGAACTTGATAGTATACTCGATACAAGTGTTGATTAGCAGAAGCCGATGTTGGAGGAAGACAAGATAGTTGTACTTGTTTCTTGTTTCGTGTATTTTTTACAGAAGTTAAATATCTATATTTATCTATACAATCATTTTTGTTGGAGTTCCTTAACAGCAAGGAGAAAGCGAATTCCTTTTGTGATTATTGTTTGAGGTGAAGAATCAAGTTCTGCAATCAACCAAATCTTTTTTTCCAAATAATTTTAATACTGATGTTTTATCCCTTCTGAACATTGCTGATGTAGTATCGCAGCCGGTTATCGCATGTAAAAATAATATTTGGTTTTGGCATTTTGGATAAGCAGATAAACTTTTTGAAGAATATATTTCTGTTCGCTGTTGAGCCTTTCCAGGTTTTAAAAAGTATATAATTTTATTAATTGGAGTTCTTGCAGTGAGTAGTATTAATAAGTCAACATCTTCACCAACTACAATAGTTGTATTTACTGCATTAAATTGTTCTATTGTTGTTTCAATTATAAGGACATCTGCGTCATTTTGACTAAGGGACTGAGTTTCTTTTGAGTGTACACTCTCAGAATAGTATAGTTTATACATATAAGAGACTCAAATAGGCATTTTTACTTGAATTAAGTGCCTGACTATGTATATACGTTGCATATATGTGCATATCATGTATAACGTGACTCCAACTTTTAGAACCGCGATATCTCAGGAATGGTGGTTCTTAGAAAAAAAAAGTATAAAGACCCATGTAGATAATTTTCAGGTCTATAATTTTTGTCTGAGCTACTTTTTTAATAAAACTTACCATTTTCGAAAAAATCTCAAACCTCAAATTTTGACTTTTGACCCCGAATAACTTTTTTAGCACACTTGGGATCGGTGGGGACTTTTGACACTTTATTTTTAATGGTGTATCCAAAGTCTCCACCAAAATTTAGCTCTGTCGGAATTTTTGTTATTTGACCACTATTTTTATGACTAATTTGACCGGACTATAGTTTATTCAACAAAACGAGAATAATGAAACTCTTCAACGCTGCATGAAATCACACAAATATATTTTTGTAGGTTGGTATAAACGCGTCAATTCTTGCTTGGTTCCAAAAACGCTCAACTTTTTGGAAAAACAGCATCGTGTTGACATCTGTGAAACAATGATTTCTGACTACCAGGACGTCATGTAACGCATCATTACTGGAGATGAGACTTGAATCTAGGCTTACGACACGGAAACAGCCTACCAATCAAGTGAATATCGTGCAAAAGATGAACCATGACCAAAAAAACCACGCCAGTCATTCAAAAATCAAGGTAGTATTGACAGTCTTCTTTGATTATTATTGTGGCGTAGTGCATGAATATGCAAAAGGTCGGAATTATGGACAGACAACTCTTGGTTTTTGCATAATGATAATGCACCAGCTCATCATTGATGATTCGAGACCATTTCGCCAAATATTCAACTCATATCGTTCCTCAACCACCATATTCGCCTGATTTAGACCGACCGACTTCTGGCTATTCCCTAACTCAAAAGATCCGCTCCGTGGGTACCGTTTCGACTCGATCGAGGAAATAAAAGTCGAATCGACGAAAGCATTGAAGGCCATAACGGAAAAGGACTTTACAGACTGTTTAGAGAGATGGAAAAAACGTTGGCATAAGTGTATTGTATCGGGTGGGGATTACTTTGAAGGCGACGAAATTGATTTGGAAGCGTAAATAAAGATTGTTTATTTTTTAAACAAATTCACCTTATTTTTTTTACAACTGGTTATGATTGATTTAAGCTTGGAACACATTATTAGGTTTGTTTCTTTAGCAGTCTCAAATTGTTTTGAAACTATCAGATATACTCGTAAGTTTTCAAGTACTTTCAGCGATCCTAAAGTCATGAATTGCTGCAGAAAGATATCTATTATATCGTGTAATGATTAGACACATCGGATACGCGACCATATATTTTTGAAAATACAATACAAATGTATTTGAATATAAATAGACTCTGAAGTAATCCTATATTGATTTTGCCTAATAGCAACTCCGTTACATATTTAAAGAAATATAGACTTTTCTCTTTGAAATGGTTTAATTAGATGAGTATGAGAAAATGTTAGTTGCTATGTACCTACCTATTTCTGCTCAAGTTGGGTTAATTTTACGTCAACATTAAATATGTAATGGTGCAGCTTATTAAATCTGAGCTTGAAACCACTATGAATAATGAAATATATTAATGAAATAAAACCTGCAGTTGATCCCATCTATGTGATGCAGGTCTCTTATTCACTAGAGTAGAGTAGTTTACTATTAGAAAAAATTATTATAAGATTCATTTTTAATATGCCTCATATAAAACTTGTGAGGAAAAGTTTACAAGTTTAGCATCTAACATATTTCTAAAATGGTTTGTATAGAGATAGTGATTATAGCACTTATATTGAATTATATTCTCAGCTAATAGGATTATACACACAAAGTGTGGTTAGAAATTTTATGGTTAATGTTGACAAGGGAACTTTGCAACATAAACCATTTATGAAAACTGTTTTAAAACATAAACGTTATTAAGGTACTGGGTTTAGCTTGCGTCGTGTGAACAATATTATACCCTATGCCGAGAAATCTGTTCTTTATTTTCTGGAAACACAATTTTTATGATTTGATATTTGAAGAATCTTGTAAAATAACAATGTCATCTACAAAATGAAGGGCGCCGATTTACATTTCGAATCCACAGAAGGTTTCATGTATCACAAAAAAAAACTAAAAAGGATTAGGGAAAATGAAAAGGGTTTCATTTTCATAGTTAATGTCTTGCAATAATGTATATTTCTGACAACTAGGCTAACTGAGAAAAATATAAGGCACCGCTTTTAACCTGGTACATTTGTTATCACATTGCAGGTCTGCTGAAGTGATAAACATGTTTTGCCTGAGGACAATGTCGGAAGAATACTTGGAAAAGTTCTAAATTCTGAAAATCCAAGTCGACAATAGATCCGGTAAGAGATATATTTGTTCTTTGTAAAGTTTGATGTACTGCTATTACTACTTATTACGAAAGTTTCTGAGATCTTACCAACTTTTAAAACTTTCCTGTGCTGTTTAGTATCGTAATAGCAGAGCGGTTTCTAATAATAACATTCTTAAATTTAACTGAAATCTTTACTATGTAATATAATAGTGCAATAAGGACTATGTACGACGTATGA